TCAGTTCCCATTTAAACTGTGCAACTAAAGCAAACAAACATCTAACAGTGGAATATTTCACAACAGGAGAAAAGATTTCAGTGCAATCAAAACCTTCGTTTTGATTAAAACCTTTTGTACCAAGTCTTGCTTCATATCTAATGTTTTTACTATCTCCTTCCCCTTGTTTTATTTTATAAATCCACCTACAATCAATCAGTTTCTGCCATTTAGGCCTCTTAACAAGTTCTCATGTCTTGTTTTTTAAAAGTGAAGACATTTCATCTTCCATGATAACTTTCCAATTTTTACTTTTCTTACACTTAATGGTCTCATCATAGGAGTTTGGATCATTTTCAAATTGTACTTAATAAGTGAAAAAAGAAACAAATCATCATTGTCAAATCTAGTATGAGGTCTGATTTGCCTCATTTCCCTATCTCTTGTGGGTTGATACTCATCAGAAGGGAGAGCAGCATGATCAAATTCATCAATCTGATCAACTTCTTGATCAATTTCAATTTCAGGTTCAATACCAGTTTCATCTACTAGGGGTACATGATTAACATTCTCAATTTGAGGAGGTTCCACCTCAATTTGAACATCTTTATCAAACAAAACTTTATATTTTCCTTCTAAAAATGGCATTAAAGGCTCATTGAAAACAACATCATTTTTAACAATGACTCTAAACCTCTTTTCACATTTAACCCACAATCTGTAGCCTTCAACATGTTCATCATAATCCGAGAAAATACATTTAAGATATCTAGGTTCCAATTTTTCAATATTTTGATGTCATTTTAAACCCATAGTCCGTAACTCTTAACATTTTCTCCATACCCCAAGAAGACACATTTAAGAGATCTATGTTCTAATTTTCCAATATTTTGATGAGCATATGCAGCACAACCAAATACCTTTAAATGAGAATAATTTACATAACCATCGGACCATACAGATTCAGGAACATCAAAATTTAAAGTTTTAGTAGGACTTCCATTAATAAGATATGCAACTATTTTAACAGCTTTACCCCAAAATAATTTAGGCAAACTAGAACGTAATAACATGCATCTAACTTTATTTAATAGAGTCATATTCATTCTTTCAACTATTCCATTTGTTGAGGAGTATAAGTAACAGTTCTATGTTTCAAAATATCATTTTCTTTACAAAAATTGTTGAATTGAGATTACAAAATTCCAAACCATTGCCAATCCTCGAAATCTGTGTTCATTTTGTTCTCAATTTAGGTTTTCCGGTCTTAAAAGCTAAAAACGTTTCATCTTTAGTTTTTAATAAGAAAACTCAAATTTTTCTAAAATAATCATCAATTATCAGTAAAAAAATATTTAAAATCGGATAAAATACACGCAGTAGCGGACCCCACAAATTAGCATGTAAATATTCCAATATATGTTCGGATTTGTGAATTCCAGTTAGAAAATGTAGTTTGATTTGTTTCCCTATAATACATTGTTCACAAGAACCAAAATCACCAAAATTTTGTTTTCCAAAAACTTCTTTTGATTGCAAAAAATTTAAAGCCTTTTTGCCAATGTGGCCAGTCTATCATGCCATAATTTTGCAAGTGTAAATAGTTCAGATATAGCAGAAGCAATTAAGCCAAGTGTTTTGCTTCCAAAAAATAAATGCCACATCTCTTAGGGGTACTTATGATAAAATCGTTGCCCTAAGAATTTTAATATGTCATTGACTCATATTTATGTTAAATTCCATATCATCTAACATACTTAAGGATACTGAGTTTCTCTTCAAGTCAGGTATATACCTAGTTTCTTTAATAAATAAAACATTTCCATTTTTCAATAACAATTTTATAGTCACTATTCCTTTAATTTTACAGGTAAAATTGTTTCCTATTTTCACTTCTCTCCAGCAGTCCTTTTAAAATCAAAAAAAGGGTTTTTATTTGGATATATATGGAAGGAACAACTTGAGTCAAGAATTCATTCATCACTTAATTGTTTTTCCATATTGACAAGAACCAATCCAGAATTAGACTTAACTTTATTATACACTAAAGCATTACTCCTTTCATCAAACTTATTATCTTTCAAGTCATTTTTCTTTTTAAAACAATTTTTGGCAAAATGTCCCAATTTCCCACAGTTATAACATTTATCACCTTTAGCCTTTGTTTTGGACTTATGTTTATCATTAAATTTATTTTTATTTTCAGTAAAAGACTTAAGATGATAATTTGATTGATCAAAACCTTTCGCATTTTCTAGCAAACCATCTCCAATTAGATTATTAACAGAATCAAATTTTAGCTCTACAGCCTTATTCCTTAAAGAATTTATTATCACGTCAGTAGTAAGTTCTTCCCTACCATACTCTACAGCAACATTGACGTCTTTATATCTTTCACTAATGGAGTTTAACAAGACTACAACCATATGATCTTTTGAAAGTTTTTCATCACAGTTAGACAAGTTTTAGATAACTTTTGAAAATCTGTTCAAGTTTTCATCCAAATCAATTGAGGGATTCATTTTGAAAGAAAAGAATTGTTTTAATAAGAAACACTTATTAGGAGAAGTCTTAGTCACATACTTTGCATGAAGTGTGGTCCACTGTTCAGATGCAGTTTTAGTTTCACCGATACTTTTTATCACATTTTCAGATAAGTACAAGAAAATAGTATTCCAAACAATTTGAAACTTCAGGTTTAGTTTTCTTTGCATGATGTAATTCAACAGGCTAACTATCATCTAAGGCCTTAACACATCTCATTTGCATTAAGATAGCCTTCATTTTTTGACTCACAAGTTGAAATCAAATTCTCCATCAAATTGAATGACTTCAAATTTCGCAGAAGCCATGTTATAGTCAAGCAAGACTTAAAGATTGAAGACAACTTACACAAATATGGAAAGAACAACAAGAGTACAGATTGGCGACAATCAGAAAATCACAGTAATATACTCAGTAAAACAATATTTTCAAATAGCAGGCACTTGTAGAGAATATGCAGATCAAAACTCTAAAGAAAACACAGTAACAGATCACGGAATAATGTTTCAC